ATGTCCAGGTGTCCCTGTGATGGACTGGAGACATGTCCAGGTGTCCCCTGCCTCTCACACAGTGATAGCTGGACATGGACACCAGTGACCCCCACGACCCGTAAAGGAAGAAGAGTTAAAGATGGATGATCAGAAAACTGAAGTCATGGTGTTCAGCTCTGATCCTGTAAACCTGGACTCTCTTCAGTCGTATCTTAGTCTGTCACAAACCTCAGGATGGTTTTAGACTCTGACTTTAAGTTTAATAAACAGATTAAATCTGTTCTGCAGGAAAGCTTCTTCCAGTTGAGGCAGATATAGATCCAGTCCATGTCGACCAGATCTGACCTCGAAAAACTAGTCCATGACCTCATTACAACCCGACTGACTGTAACGAGCTTCACGTTGGGCTCAGTCACGTCTCCAGCTCGTCCAAAACGTTGCAGCTCGGCTCTTAACAGGAACTCGTAGGTTCGATCACATCTCACCAGTTCTGTCCTCCCTGCACTGGCTCCCCGTACGGATCAGGATTGATTTTAAAATTCTCCTGTTGACCTTCAAGTGTCTAAATGACCTTGCACCCTCATAGCTCTCTGACTGTCTTCAACCAGATGTTTGTTCTCGGGTGATGAGATCATCTGAGCAGCTGCTTCTGGTTGAAGCTCAGAGGAGATCGGGCTTTTTCAGTCGTGGTCCTAAACTCTGGAACAACCTGCCCCCACATTAGACAGGACACTTCACTTCCTGTTTTTAAAGCTCTTTTATAAAAACACCTGTTTATTTGTATTTTAACACGGTGTGATCTGATTTAGGATTTTATTTTCAGTGTTTTTGTTTTTTCTTTTGATGCTTTTAATTAATTGTCAGTTTTATTATTATTTGTTCTTCATTAATTTACTCCCATTGATTTTTATTGTTAAGCACTTTGGTGACAGCTGCTGTTTTAAATGTCCTTCATAAATAAAAGTTGACTTGACTTCAGTCACGTTTATTGAACATGATATTCTGATCATTAATACTTTATAAGGATCAGCTGAAGAATAAAGTTCAGCAGCCGAACGTTTCCTCCCGTCAGCCCCAGAAACCTGCAGTTTTGTTGTAAAGTCTGGAACGTGTCCAAAGTTCTGGCAACTCAAACATGAAAACTAAGAAAAAACAGATTGTTCTGAGACGGTTTCTGCCCAGTGCGGACAGATAGTTCAGCTGATTGGTTTTAATCTGATGTTAGATTTTAATCTGATGATTTCGGCCACTATTTAAAAAGAATCCTCGCTCGTCTAACAAGAACGAGGCAGAAGCTACAACCAGCTCACCGCAATTTCCTTATAAGCAAAAAAGAAGAAGTTTTTTTTTTTAAACTTTTTAAATGTACAAGCTCTTAAGTGTTGGTAAATACACATTTACCCGAGTTCGACAACTATGGTTATATTTTAGTAAATTAAAAACACAGTGACCTAAAAATGGAATTACAAAATAATCGGTTTGTAAATCTTCCATTTGTTGCCATGACTTCCAAAGATCAGCCGAAGACAAAGACTTCCAAAGATCAGCCTAAGACAAAGACTTCCAAAGATCAGCCGAAGACGAAGATCAGCCGAAGACAAAGACTTCCAAAGATCAGCCGAAGACGAAGATCAGCCGAAGACAAAGACTTCCAAAGATCAGCCGAAGACGAACTGCTCTGGGTCGACCTCTAATACAAATATAAGCTTTTCAATTTTTTTCTTTTAATTCGACACCAAACGCGCCGACGTCTTGGCGGGCGAGTAAATCCACGACAGACGAGCCCTTCGGGTGAGTCTTGTTTTCTGTCACGACCTCTGCCCTCCTGGAAAACTTCACTTAACGTCCAACTTGACTTTGATGTTCATCGCCGCGAGCTCGGCCACAAAGTAGCGAAAGACGTACGGGACGGACACCGAGACGATGGAGTCGCTCTTGCCGCACAGAGTGCACGTGGTCTTCCGGTGGCGCATGGCCGACCAGTAGGGGGGCGGTTTCTCCAGCAGCGGGGACAGAAGGCTGCCGCAGTCCACGCACACTTGAGCCACCGAGCGGTCGGAACAGTTGAACAGGCGGTCGTGGAGCAGGAACGAAGAGCCGTGGGCCAGCAGGGCGTCTCGCTCCATCTCCCCAAAACGAATGCCTCCCTGGATGTTCCTGCCGCCCATGGGCTGGTTGGTCACCTTGTCTCGCACTCCGGTGGTTCGCACCTGGAACTTGTCGGAGACCATGTGGCGCAGCCGCTGGTAGTAGACGACGCCGATGAAGATGTCCGCCTCCAGCTCCTGGCCACTCAGCCCGCTGTAGAGCCGCTCCGTCCCATAGTAGTTGTAGCCGCCGGCTCGGAGCATTTTACCAAAGTACTCGAGCGCCGAGCTCTCCTCAGAGAAGGTGAAAGGCGTGGCGTCGTGGCTCAGGCCGTGCAGGGCGGCGGACTTTCCCGCCATGCTCTCGATCAGCATCCCGATCGTCATCCGGGAGGGGAAGCCGTGGGGGTTGAAGAGGATGTCCGGAGACATGCCGCTCTCCGTGAACGGCATGTCCTCCGCCGGCCAGAGGCGGCTCAGGATGCCCTTCTGACCGTGGCGGCTGGCAAACTTGTCGCCGATGGTGGGGTTTCGTGGCACCCGAACCGTGATGCAGACGCGTTTCAAACTGCCTGATCCCGAGTCGTTGCTGCAGATCTTTACGTTGTCGACAACACAGGCCTCCTGGCTCCTGCAGTCACAAACCAAAAGTTAAAGTCAAGTTTTCTGACAGAAGAACTCCAGGGATGACGGAGAAGGCAGAAGCTTGGACTCTTACTTGTAGTAGCTGACTTGGGTTTGGCCCGTGTTCAGGTTGATGTAGCCGTAGAACGGGTCTCCGTATTGAAGCACCGATCCGATGTGAGGCAGTCCGTCAGAATCCAGTTTCCCGTCCACCTTCGGGTCTCCGGCCTTAGTCCCAAACACCACGCAGTCCTCTCCTCTCACCTTGTCCGCCAAGTCCACCAACTCGGTCTTGTAGATGCTTCCATGGGCAAAACCTCTTTCCCACGATGACTTGTTCACGATCTACAAGGGTCAAAAGGTGTCAGCGTCACAGTCCAACCAGAGACTTATGCCTCCTGCTGCCCTTGGGTCAAAATAACCTGCGAGGCCTCATGGGTTACTTTGACCCAAGGGCAGCAGGAGGATTAAAAACCATCTTGTTCACCATGGCGTCTTCCATGTCGTAGCCGGTGTAGGAGATGACGGCCACGATGGCATTGGTGCCGCTGGGGTAGTTGTCCAAGTTGTAATGGTCGTACATGTAGGGCCTGACCAGCGGACTCTGGGGGGTCTGGAGCCGGTACAGCTTGTTATCGGAGCGATCCTTGAACGAGTGCAGAGGAAACCCCATCGTCTGCTTACCTGGAAACATCAGGTGAAAAACCGATAAAGTAAAAGTTACTTGAGCCCATGATGACCATGAGTCTGATGTGTCACTGAGTGAAATAAATATTTAATACTTAGCGAATCATGACTCGGCCCCCGGTGGAGCTCAGTAAGGTCCGGTTCACACCCGGCTCGAACGTCCACCTGGACCATCGGACGGCTCTAAATACAGCCGTGATCTCTCAACGCACACGGACGACGATTTTATGCAGACCGCATTCAGAGGTGGTCTGGAGCCTTTTATCTGTGCAGGTCTGGACACGGTCCGTCCTGACCCCTGACGTCGGACCTCTAACCGACCGGACCCCACGTTAACAGCAGAGTTTTTAAGTCTGAACGTCGGCTGCATCAAGTTAAGATGATTAAACCGTCATTCTTGGGAATATTCTGCAGAAAGTATTTCGTTGTTGTCGGGAGTTTATCAGAACTCTTCCTGATAAAATATCAGTTGTGTTTGTTATAATCTGAGTGAATTATCGGACCGTCAGCGCTGCCGTCTTGTAATCCCGAGGTTGCAGGTTCAAGCCCAGGTTGCGTCAAGAAGAGAATTTGGTGTAAAACGATCACCTAACTGTGGCGACGCCCACAAGAAGGGAGCAGCAAAACAACCGTGTGGCAAATCTCTTAGGATCAAAGTTGGTTCTGTATTAGAGCCGTTTGGACCCACCCTGGTCGCTGGATAACGCAGGACCTCAGACCAGAGAAAATAATTTACATTTCTGTTGCCATCTCATTAAAACCACAACCGTATTCCTGGTCTGTCACAATAACAACTTTTGCTGGGCGATTGACTGTCTCAGCATTTATTGCGATAAACGATAATATTGTTTGAAATTTGACAATAATTAGTAATTATTGTCAAATTTAATTAGAAATGTTGGTTTTTGTGTGTAGTACTTATTTCACCACCGGATGGCAGTATAAGACTGTTTGAACGAAGGATGGATAGTGAGGGAGCGAGCAGCGTGTCTCTTAAAGAAAATGGGAGGGAGGCCCCTTGACGTGACATGGGCTGTCTCTTTTTTTTTTCGGTTCTCAAAATGGCGGACGCTCGGTGCGGTTTGAGCTCTTTAGCATTTTTCACACAAAACTTTTAATTCAAAATCAGTAAACAAGTTCTCAGCTACTTTTTGCAGAGAAAAACAACTTTTTACACGAAGGCACGAGTTTCAACCGTGAATTTTGGAGCTTCGACAAGACGGAGGTTTATTCCAGAGGTCGGCCTGTTAGCTTAGCTTCTCAGCTTAGCTGCTTTAACGATCCAAAAACGTGATTTTGGCTCGTTAAAGCAGATTGTAAAGAGAAAGGAGAAGTGGGGGGGTCAGTGAAGAACCGGGGTTGATCTTTTTGTCATCCAGTGTCTTCAGTAGAAAGAGACACGAAGAAACGATGAAGCTGATAAATGAGGTTGATCGTTTTCATTCATCATGTGATTAATTGATTTATTGTTCATCGTGACAGGCCGAGCCGTGCACATTATTTTGTTGCCCACCTCAGATCTCTCTGTACCCACCATGGCAGCTGCTTCAGTGTTGATGTTTTTTAATCTACTGAAACGCTTGTTAAAACTAAACATGGGCAGAGTTGGCTCCGTTTTTGTGATTGTTATTAATCAAAAGCAGTTTTTAGAATGACTATAAAAAGATAAAGGAAGGATATTTGAGCTCCCCACCAGAGTCAGAGTAAAGCTCTAACTCTTGAGGTGAGCTGGTGACGGCCCAAAGATCAGTTCAAGAACACCTGTCGTACATTTTCAAAGTAAAACGATGACGCCGAACACGAGATCAGAAAAACTATGAAAGTACGACGTGAAGTCAAAGCTTTAAAATAATAACTGCAATAAAATGTTCAAATGTGACGCTGTCCAAGCTTTGTAAAGCCCAAACCATAATGTTTCCGCCTCCACGTTTATCTGACCCCAGCACCTTCATTCGTTGTTTTTTCAACGCTTCACGTCAGTGAAACTAAAACACTCGTTTCCCCCGCGTGTATTTTAAATCCAACCAGTCAACACAACCAATACACCAGTCCCAACTCACCCATCTGGCACTGGTACATGTTTCTGGGGCTCTGGTTGTGGTCCGAGTAGGGGATGAAGTTGGCCACCACACTGAGCATGCTGTGAGGGAACAGCTCCTGGTGCGAGGTCACGCCGGCTTCGACCTCACCCGCCATGATCCCCACGTTCATGTAGAGCTGAAACACGTGGCATTTAAGGGCTTGTGTAGCATTTCCTACAGCCGCTAACATCGTTCTTCAATGTCCTCCAAACCTGTTCGAAGGTGCCGATCAGCTCCTGTTTGCCGTGGGCCAAGTTCTGAACGGGTCGCATCATCCGGCACGGCGTCGTGAACAGGAACAGGCCCGGATACAAGCTGGCTTTGCCCGTTCTGGGAACAAGCACGATCTCCGTCCACGGAGGAATTTTCTTTTCCCCGAGCACCTGGAGGGACGTTGTAAATTCAAGCACCAACAGGACGGCTGACATGGGATGGACTAAAGAAGTTCTCGTACCTTGAACCTGCGCAGCGAGTCAACCACCGTTGGAGCCAAATCGCTCTCCACCCAGCCGACAACGGCGCCGTCCAGAACCACAGGGTAGCACTCAGAAAAGGCTCGACCGGGGGATCCGTCCACCGGGGTCACACCTGACACGGCAGAGACACGTTCAGACTCACCGACAAACTCTCTGGGTCGTCAGTTCTCTGAGTTTCGGGCTCACCGAGGGCGCAGAGCAGAGCCGGCAGGGACGTAGTGAAGGCGGTGGGTGCAACTATCTCGCAGCTGGCGGTCATGTGGTTCATGAGTCCGCACGGCTCTCCGTCCGGAGTGTGAACGGGACACAGGAAGCCCCAGGACTCGGGCAGCAGCTTCCGGACGGAGGTGGTCCTCATCTTGGCGAAGGAGGCTCCTCGGTGCACGCAGCGGAAATGGGAAAGGTACCGGATGAAGTTCAGTTTGTCTGCAACAACGCACAGACCGCTGCTCTGCAGCATCCCGAGACCTACGGAGACCAGGTCTTTGTTTAACACCGAGCATTTAAAGGAACAGCACGCACTCGGATCGGGCTCTCGGGAGTCCGTACCGGTCTTGGAGTGGAGGTTTCCGGTGGCCAGCAGGTATTCGAAAGATTTGGTCACGTCTGAGCCCAGGTTCAGCATCCTTATCATGTTCTCTGTGCTCCAGCTGCCAGTCACTTTGGATCCTCGTTTGTTGAAGGACAGCTTCACGGACACCAGCCACGCCGTCAGGCGCTCCTGGTCAAAGGTTTGAGAAGATTCAAGCATTACGAAGCTTCGACCGGAAAATAATCACTGCCTGGAACTCCATCAAACATCAAAACCTGAACGATGAACTGTTAAAAAGGCGCTTCACAGCTCGTGTCTGACCCTAAAGGAAACTTATTTCTGAAAAACGTTGCTTCAAAGATTATTTCAGCGCTTATGAAGTGCCTTTATTCTTTAACCGTCTCTTTGCAGAGGCAGGAGAGCAGAGAAACGACCTCTGACCTTCAGGAACATGAGGTAGAGCTGACCCGGGGTCAGCACTTCATGACACGTGATGCTGTCGGGGTTCTCCTCCATGCACTCCTGCTTGGCGTAGCTGAAGAGCTTCCGGGTCATGAGACAAAGCAGGTAGAACTTATCCGAGTCGGACTTCAGGTGGATACAGATGCATTCGCTGCAAAAACCCACAACGGTTATTAAAGACGCAGTTAGTCAGTGAAATGATGAGGGACTGAGTTGTAAAAGCTAAAGGAAGCAGAACACTAGCTAAAAGTTAAAACAAGCATAATGCTAGCTTTAAAGAAAAACAACACGAGCTAAACCTAAAAATAGGGCACTAGCAAAAAGCTAAAGGAAGAAGAAAACTAAAAGAAAAACACCAGCTAAATGAAGTATCATGCTAGCTAAAATAAACAGAGCACTAGCTAAATGCTAAAAGAAGCAGAACATTAGCTAAAAGCTATAAAAGCAAAACACCAGCTAAAAGAAGCATTATGCTAGCTAAAATAAAGAGAATACTAGCTAAATCTAAGCAAGGCCCCAAATAAAAGCTAAAATGAAGCAGAACAATAGCTAAAAGCTAACAAAAGCAGAACACCAGCTAAAAGAAGTATCATGCCCACTAAAATAAGCAGAACACCAGCTAAATCTAAAAGCAGTGCATTAGCTAAAAGCTAAAGGAAGGCGAACATTAGCTAAAACTAAAGGAAGCAGAACATTAGCTAAAAGAAGCAGAACACCTGTTCAAAACCAAATAAACACTAGTAGTAAAAGGCTAGCTAAAAATAGCAAAAAAATAGCTTCAAATAAAGAAAGGCATGCTAAAAGCAGCAACGGATTAGTTGAAAGTAGCAAAAGGTGAACTAAAAGCATGCAAAGGCTAGCTACAAGTAAAAGTAGCAAAAGCCTAGCTAAAAACCTCAAAATAAGAAAATTGTTAGCTAAAAGCAGCAAAAGGTTAGCTAGGTAAAAGCTAAACAACAGTGAAAAGCTAAAACTAAAATTAGCAGAAGGATAGCTGAAACCTCAAAGTAGCATAAGAAGCATAAAGACAGGCAGTAGCTGAAGATTATGAGAACAATGTTTTTGAAGGAAATGAAGTCGCGTCCATGTGTTTCTACAGAGAAAACGTTTGTAAATAAATTAAAAGTTTAAAAGCCACAAGAGCTAAAAGTCATGACACCCAACTGCTGAACGAGCTGAGCCGTTTGATGCATCAGCAGCTAAAGGAGCGCACAGTCTGCAGAAGTAGTTCGGCTGGGGCTTACTTCAGGAGGACGCTGGCGCACTGCTCGTTCGTGTACCACTCAGGCAGGTTCAACTTGATCCTGAAGTGCTCCCCCAGGTACTCCAGCACCTTGCTGCGGGTCGTGCAGCCCTCCTCCGCCACGAGGCGCAGCATCTCCGACACGCAGGTCTTATAGAAAGAATTGTCCTCGCGGCCTTTGATCAGCTCCTGGTAGATCTGGAAGTCTGTGAAGTCCACCAGAGCCTGAAGGCCACAAAACAAAACCACAACGAAGGTTAAGATGGCGACTCGTTCTCCATGTTCTCCTTCGTAAAGTCTGACGGATACCTTCAGTGCAAAGCCTAAAGGGAGGAAGAAGAGCTCCTTCTGGTAGATGAAGTTCATCATCACCGTCCCGTTTTCCAGGTAATGAAGGTTCATGTTGATTGCCGTGTGCTCCTCCCTCACACAACGCATGGAAATACCTTCAAGATGCAGAACATGACGGCGTTTATTATAAAACCTAAAGAAGACATGTTGCTTTTCCACGCCACACCATGTCGAAGCGATCATTTCTTTACCGTACTGAGTGTAGCCCTGACCCCGGCTCTTCCACTTGGGTCGGGACATGGCGATGGGATAATTCCTCCTGGGCATGATCAGCATCCTGATCACCTTCTCTATCCCGTTCACGATGAAGTAACCTCCCATTTCCTGTTGGTTGGACGTGCACGTCAAATTCAGGATCAGACTGTTTGACAAACTTCTGCTCAGGTTTAGAGTTTCTCAGTGACCTCAGCTTCTTCGTGATGCCGGACGAGCTCCTGGGGGGACATGCCGTGCAGGTTGCACAGCTGGGACTTGACCATGACCGGCAGCTGACCCAGGCTCTGCTTGATGATGCCTTTAGGAACCCCGTTGATCGACCAGCTGACGTCTGCCTGAAATAGCATCACGTTGTGGTTACACGTCGTTAAGATGAGTTTGAAGATTGAACTGTGAATTCTGCCGCAGTCAACGGTTCCTACCACCAGCTTCCCTCTGTAGGTGCACCTCCGCCCTCGACACTCGGCAGGAAACACCTTCATCTCAGAGCAGATGCTGCCCTTCCCCACAGCTGGGCTGTGGATGGTGGCGTCCACGAAGGACAGGCTCACCTGGTCGCTTTTAGACAGGAACTCTAGAGGAGGGATGGCCTGAAACACAGGTCACGACTAAATATTCACAAAACGATGTGATATAAATACGTTTTCAATCAATTGTGCAGCCCTAGACTAGTTCAGGTGTCAAAACTGGTTGACTATAACATATTTAGAGAACATAAGACCCTGGTTCTTCTTGCAGTTTTATTATTGATGGGTTTGTTCCAACATGAACAGATTTGGTCATCTCCTCCTGCAGGTGTACACAAAGTTGTTGCTTTAACAGAAACTAACCAACATCAATGTTGGCTTCCTGTTTTTAATAATGTCACTGTTCATTTTGTCCTGATGCATGCTCAATAATCCAGGTAGATTTCATTTTGTGTTTTCTTCAAGATGAAAACACAAAAACACCGACCAGATGTCTGAAAACTGGATCTGTTCAGCATGTTTTGAACACATTAAACTTAAGTAAATTAAATTTTTAGACTCATTACTCCCGGTTCGGATCCTGATTCGGTACCGATGTATTCACACGCACTTTAAGTTTCCTGACTGACCTGCACGACCCGGCTGAGACCGTCAGTGACCGCCTGGTCGAAGGACTCCAGGTGGGCTTTGGTCAGGTCCTGGACCGCCGGGTGCTGCTTGTCCTGCAGTTTACCGAACCCTCCGTCCGTCAGGTTCTTCAGGCTCGGTCCGGCTGGTAAACGACTCCACTTCTCTGAAAAGTCCATGTTTGCTGTCCTCCCGGGCTCGCGTGGACTTGTTTACCACATGGATACAATAACACCGGAAGTACTTTCCTCTGGGACAGGAAGAGCGTTCTTCTTCGTGGCCTGTGTACTCGGCTGCTTCTTTGGCGCCGTCTAAATGTGAAGTCGGTCAAAACGTAATTATTTATCTGGTTCGTTCATTATTATTTTATTTTTTTAAGAAAACTTTATATATCAAAACAAGTACAAACAAGTATGGCGATTCACAATAATGTAAGTGTGATTTTCTCCAACAGGTTATTCGTCATTTCCGCCAGCAGGGGGCAGTGTCGCTACGCTGAGTTTAATGGAGATCAGCATCGACGGAGCTGCTGCTAAAAGAAGAAAGCGACGATTGAAGTAAATATTTTACCATTTGTGAAATGAAATGTGAGGAAGTGAAATAAAAAGACTGTGTCCCGCTGTATTGCTCAGGCTGCGCTGCAGCGTCTATTCACAGGCGCGATCCCACTACTGAGCGGCACGGGGGCTTTGACCTGCTCCGTTTCCGGCCTGGGCCGGTGCACCCCTCCTTGGACGACCTGGTGGTCCCGGGCTCCCCCAGGAGCACCATATCGATACCGAGCTTAGTGCGGACACCCGATCGGCATAGTCCGCTGCAGCTCAGAGCTCCTGAGCTCAATCGGTCCGCCAGCCTCAGCCTCCCAGCAGCTTGGATTACAGGCGCGCGCCACCGCACCCGGCGAGGACAGCCGAGGCTCATGGGGCTTTTAGCTTTTCAGTGTGTGACGTCATCAGAAGGTGACCTCTAGCGGCGGCCTTTAGCAACTACATGTGCGTAAATTTATAAGTTCGGTACAGTATTTTTCTGTGATGCAAAGCAAAGTTTTATTTAAAATTTTACAGCCACACTTTATTATTTTAGTCAGATTAAAAAGTCTTTAAAGCAGTTTGTTGTTTTTAAAATTAACGTTTTTCTGGATCAGAGCTGAAATAAACCTATTTTTGGTTTAAGACAGTCAAGTTTGGAAGATTCACACTGTGGAGAAGAACATTTCTCAACAGTTATTATTATTATTATTATTAATAATGTCTGAGGCAGAGTGATTCTGGAGGGTGGAGGGATCAGTTTTATCCAGCCCGGGGTGACCAGGATCGCCATGGCAACAATCAGTGTTTAGATGCCATGTCCAGCTTTCTGTGCATTTTAACAGGTTGTTGAACATCTTCGTTTACAGCCCTACAGAGAGCAACGAGAAGTAGCTCTAACAAAGTAAGTCAGGTCCTCTGGACGGCTTAAAAAAAACTTATTGAAACGTTTCATTTTTTTATCCAAAGGACTTCTTCAGCCTGAGGAGCTGCAACAAACTCAGTCTTATAAATATCACCTTCTCGTAGTGGATCAACCAGTTTGCTGCTGACAGCCAAAACCAGCTGCTCACATGATGAAGGAGGACCATCAGCCTAACAATGGATCGTTAGCGCCTGATGGCTGTGACCATCCGTCCCGCCAGGCTAAAGGCAACGTCTCCTCTCGTTGTATTTTGAATAAATAATCAAAATAAAAATGCACAATGACTTTGGACTTGATGATGTCAGGCTGAAGAAGGAGTCCTGTCAGGCCTTTTTGGCCTGTGGGACCCCAGAAGCAGCTGATGGGTATCGGCAGTCCAAGCGGCTCGGGTGGTCGCTGACGCAAAAACTCGGGCGTGGGAGGAGTTCGGAGAGGTCATGGAGAACGACTTCCGCACGGCTTCGAGGTGATTCTGGTCCACCATCTGGCGTCTCGGGGGGGAAGCGGTACACCACCAACACTGTTTATACTGGAGGTGGTGCGCTGCTGATCTCAACTCGGGATGTTGTGGGTCGGTGGGCAGAATACTTGGAAGACCTCCTCATTCCCACCGACACGTCTTCCACTGAGGAAGCGGAGCCTGGGGACTTTGGGTCAGACTCTCCAGTCTCTGGTGCTGAGGTCACCGAGGTGGTTAAGAAGCTCCTCGGTGGCAGGGCCAGGTGGATGAGACTCGTCCGGAGTTCCTTAAGGTTCTGGATGTTATGCGGTTGTGTTGGCTTACACGACTCTGCAATATTGCGTGGACATCGGGGGCAGTTCCCCTGGATTAGCAGACTGGGTGGAGGTCCCCCTATTCAAAAAGTGGGGCCGTAGAGTGTGTTCCAACTAGAGGGGGATCACGCTCTTAAGCCTCCCTGGTAAAGTCTATTCAGGGGTTCTGGAGAGGAGGGTCCGTCGGATAGTCAAACCTCAGATTCAGGAGGAGCGGTGCGGTTTTCGTCCTGGTCGTGGAACACTGGACCAATTCAGCAGGGTCCTGGAGGGTGAGTTTACCCAACCAGTCTACATGTGCACCTCCAAACTGGTTGGACCACCATGAGTGTTCTCCTTAAAAGACTGAGTTTGTTCTGGCTCCTCAGACTGAAGAAGTCTCTTGGATGAGAGATGAAACATTTCAACACAAAGAGGTCCAGAGAGCTCGACTTAACTTTGTTGGTTTTGTTTTTTTAATCTATCCAGAGGAACTAACTTAATTTTGTAAGATATAATGAAAGGTTATTTTTATAATATTGCTTTTCCTGAACAAAATGTTTGAAATAAAGTGCTTAAACACTAAAGCAATTAGTCCCGCCCTCTTGTTCCGCCTTAACACATAAAACTTTCACACATTTCCACACAACACATAAACCTTAAACATCGAACTCTGCATCATTAAAAACAGGTTATACACTCAACACACGCTCATGTGCTCATTCAATTTGCCATCCATCCATTTTCTTCCGCTTATCCGGGGTCGGGTCGCGGGGGTAGCAGCCTAAGTAGGGAGGCCCAGACTTCCCTCTCCCCAGCCACTTGGTCCAGCTCCTCCAGCAGAATCCTGAGGCGTTCCCAGGCCAGCTGAGAAACATAGTCCCTCCAGCGTGTCCTGGGTCTCCTTCCGGTGGGACGTGTCCGGAACACCTCACCAGGGAGGCATCCTAACCAGATGCCCGAGCCGCCTCAACTGGCTCCTCTCGATGTGGAGAAGCAGCGGCTCTACTCCGAGTCCCTCCCGGATGATCGAGCTTCTCACCCTGTCTCTAAGGGAGAGCCCAGACACCCTGTGGAGAAAACTCATTTCGGCCGCTTGTATCCCAGATCTCATTCTTTCAGTCACAACCCAAAGCTCATGACCATAGATGAGGGTGGGAACGTAGATCGATTGGTAAATTGAGAGCTTCGCCTTTTGACTCAGCTCTCTCTTCACCACGACAGACCGGTACAGCGCCTGCTTCACTGCAGACGCTGCACCTATCCTCCTATCGATGTCACGCTCCATTTTTCCCTCATTCGTGAACAAGACCCCAAGATACTTGAACTCCTCCACTTGGGGCAGGACCTCCTCCCTGACCCGGAGAGGGCACTCTACCCTTTTCCGGCTCAAGACCATGGCCTCGGATTTGGAGGAACTGATCTTCATCCCGGCCGCGTCGTATTCGGCTGCGAACCGCTCCAGCGAAAGCTGTAGATCACGACTTGATGAAGCCAATAAGACCACATCATCTGCAAAAAGCAGGGACGCAATCCTAAGGCCACCAAAATGGATCCCCTCAACACCTCGGCTGCGCCTAGAAATTCTGTCCATAAAAGTTATGAACAGAATCGGTGACAAAGGGCAACCTTGGCGGAGTCCAACTCTCACCGGGAAAAAGCCCGACTTACTGCCGGCGATGCGGACCAGGCTCTGACACCGGTCATACAGGGACCTAACAGCCCATATCAAAGGGCCCTGTACCCCATACTCCCAGAGTACCCCCCACAGAGCCCCCCGAGGGACGCGGTCGAATGCCTTCTCCAAGTCCACAAAGCACATGTAGACTGGTTGGGCAAACTCCCATGCACCCTCCAGGACCCTGCTGAGAGTGTAGAGCTGGTCCAGTGTTCCACGGCCAGGATGAAAACCGCACTGCTCCTCCTGAATCCGAGGTTCGACTATCCGACGGACCCTCCTCTCCAGAACCCCCGAATAGACCTTACCAGGGAGACTTAAGAGCGTAATTCCCCTGTAGTTGGAACACACTCTACGGTCCCCCTTTTTGAATAGGGGGACCACCACCCCGGTCTGCCAATCCAGGGGAACTTCCCCCGATGTCCACGCAATATTGCAGAGTCACGTAAGCCAACACAACCCTACAACATCCAGAGCCCTAAGGAACTCTGGGCGAATCTCATCCACCCCTGGGGCCCTGCCACCGAGGAGCTTTTTAACCACCTCGGTGACCTCAGCACCAGAGATTGGAGGGCCCGACCCAGAGTCCCCAGGCTCCGCTTCCTCAGTGGAAGACGTGCCGGTGGGATTGAGGAGGTCTTCAAAGTATTCTGCCCACCGACCCACAACATCCCGAGTTGAGGTCTGCAGCACACCACTCCCACTATAAACAGTGTTGGTGGCGTACCGCTTTCCCCCCCTGAGACGCCGGATGGTGGACCAGAATCGTCTCGAAGCCGTGCGGAAGTCGTTCTCCATGGCCTCTCCGAACTCCTCCCATGCCCGAGTTTTTGCCTCAGCAACCACCCGAGCCGCATGTCGCTTGGACTGCCGGTACCCATCAGCTGCTTCCGGGGTCTCACAGGCCAAAAAGGCCTGACAGGACTCCTTCTTCAGCCTGACATCATCCCTCACCGATGGTGTCCACCATCGGGTTCGAGGGTTGCCGCCGCGACAGGCACCGACAACCTTGCAGCCGCAGCTCCGGTAAGCCGCCTCGACAATAGAGACACGAAACATGGTCCACTCAGACTCAATGTCCCCCACCTCCCTCGGAACATGTTCGAAGTTCTCCCGGAGGTGGGAGTTGAAACTCCGTCTCACAGGAGACTCTGCCAGACGTTCCCAGCAAACCCTCACAATACGTTTGGGTCTGCCAGGTCTGACCGGCATCCTCCCCCACCATCGGAGCCAACTCACCACCAGGTAGCGATCAGTGGACAGCTCCGCCCCTCTCTTCACCCGAGTGTCCAAGACATGTGGCCGCAGATCAG